CGATAGTGGCAGTAGTGGTAGAAGTCGTGGTAGTGGTAGTCGTGACACTATTACTTGAATTAGAAATCGTGGTACTAGTGATAGTAGGGATTGGAGTAGTATGAGTAGTAGTAGTAGTATTAGTAGTAGTAGCAGTAGTAGTAGTAGCAGTAGTAGTAGTAGTAGTAGTCGTAGTAGTCGTAGTAGTAGTAGTCGTAGTCGTAGTAGTAGTAGTAGTAGTAGTAGTAGTAGGAGTATTGGTAGTAGTAATAGTAGTAGTAGTAGTAGTAGTAGTAGTAGTAGTCGTAGTAGTAGTAATCGTAGTAGTAGTAGTAGTAGTAGTAGTAGTAGTAGTAGTAGTAGTAGTAGTAGTAGTAATCGTAGTAGTAGTAGTAGTAGTCGTAGTCGTAGTCGCAATAATACTGGTAGTCGTAGTCGTAATCGTAGCCGTAGTACTAGCAGAGTAGTAGTAGTAGTAGTAGTAGTAGTAGTAGTAGTAGAAGTAGTAGTAGTAGTAGTCGTCGTCGTCGTCGTCGTAGTAGTCGTTGTAGTAGAAGTAGTAGTAGTAGTAGTAGTAGTAGTAGTAGTAGTAGTAGTAGTAGTAGTCGTAGTAGTATCAGTAGTAGTAGTAGTAGTAGTAGTAGTAGTAGTAGTAGTAGTAGTAGTAGTAGTAGTCGTAGTCGTAGTCGTAGTAATAGTAGTAGTTGTAGTAGTAGTAGTAGTCGTAGCAGTAGTAGAAGTAGTAGTAGTAGTAGTAGTAGTAGTAGTAGTAGTAGTAGTAGTAGTAGTTGTAGTAGTAGTGGTAGTAGTAGTAACAGTACTATTAGTAGTCGTAGTAGTGGTAGTGCTCGTAGTAGTGATAGGTTCAGTAGCAGTTCTTGTTTCGTAGTGGTAACAGTACAGCTAGGAGTAATACCAATCGGAAGCGCAGGCGCAAGAAGTAGTAGACATCGGAATCGCCATCGTAATTAATTCTGCAAGTGTGTGAGTTAGCGTACTCGTATTAGTATAAGTAGTTGTCACCGTCATAGTAGCACCCACAAGATGAATAACACATCGTAATATCGGTAGGAGTAATCGTATTGGGATAATCGGAGGTGAGGGGGTGAGATCGAAGTGGAACGGAGAGCCCCCCTACCGGGAAATCAATTTCGGTTTCGTGTTCGTGCGTGCCGTGCGGGCGGGCGAGGCGAAGCTGCGTGGGCGGGCGAGAAAAAGTCTCCTGTGGCTGAGGCGCGGCCGGACCAAATGACTCCCTTCCGGGCGGCCGGTGGCCCGCGGTGTCCCGCCGGTGTCCCGCTGGTGTCCCGTGTGGCTGAGGCGCGGCCGGACCAAATGATTCCCTTCCGGGCGGCCGGTGGCCCGCGGTGTCCCGCCGGTGTCCCGCGGTGTCCCGCGGTGTCCCGCGGTGCCCCGCGGTGTCCCGCCGGTTTCCCGCGGTGTCCCGCGATGATGATGATGATGATGATGATGATGATGATGATGATGATGATGATGATGATGATGATGATGATGGTGATGATGATGGTGATGTTGATGATGATGTTGCTGATGATGATGATGACGATGATGATGATGGTGATGCTGATGACGATGATGCTGATGATGATGAGGACGATGATGATGATATGATGATGGTGCCCCGATGATGCTGATGATGATGATGATGATGATGATGTCGATGATGATGATGATGATGACGATGATGATGATGCTGATGGTGTCCCGATGATGAGGATGATGATGATCATGATGATTATGTTGATGATCGTGATGACGATGATGGTGTCCCGATGATTATGAGTATGATGGATGTGATGTTGATGATGCTGATTCTGATTGTGTCTCGATGATGATGTTGATGATGATGAGGTTGATGATGATTATGGCGTCCCGATGATGATGATTATTCTGATGGTGATGATGATGATGTTGATGATGATGGCGTCCCGATGGTGATGATGATGATGATGATGTTGTTGATGCTGATGTTGGTAATGATGATCATGGTGCCCCGATGATGACGATGATGATGCGAATGATGATGTTGGTGATGCTGATGATGATGATGTCGATGATGAGGATGAGATGATGATGATGGTGTCCCGATGATGATGATGATGATGATGATGATGATGATGATAACGATGGTGATCCTGATGGTGTCCCGATGATGCTGCTGCTGATGATGATGATGACGATGACTGTGTCCCGATGCTGCTGATGATGATGATGCTGATGATGATGATGATTGTGATGATGGTGCTGATGATGATGATGGGGGTGTCCCGATGATGTTGATGCCCGTGATGATGATGTTGTTGGTGTTGATGATGAGGACGGTGTCTCGATTATGATGATGTTGGTGATGCTGATGTTGATGTTGATGTTGTTGTTGATGATGATGATGATGATGGTGATGACGTTGATTGTGAGAGCGGTTGTGATATCGATAGTGAGATCGAGAGTGGGACCGAATGTGGTATCGATTGTGACATCGATTGTGAGATCGTTTGTGAGATCGATAGTCATATCAATTGTGAGATATTTCGAGTGAGATCGATTGTGAGATCGATCGAGGGATATCAATCGAGCGAGACCGATACTGAGATCGATAGTGAGATCGATAGTGAGACCGATCGAGTGAGACGTTGGTTCCTCCCCCCCCCCCCCCCGAACCTCCTTATCACCCGAAGGGTGGTCGTATAGGTATTACAAGTAATTGTAGTCTTAGTTTTAGTCGCACGAGCATTGGTCTTCTTATTATTTGCGTTCGTATTAGCAATGGTACTATGAATAGTGGTGGCGGCACGGTAACTAATGGTGATAGGACTGGTATCACTCAAGGGAATAGAGAAAGCGACCGTAGTAGTCATAGTAAAATGAATAGTCGTAATATTAGGTGCAGTGGTAAGAATAACGAAGCACGCGTGCCAATGATTTTACAATCACGGATGTGGGACACTGGGAGATGAAGGTGGCGCCAACCTGTGGTAGTTTCGGGGACGCGCGCGAGGTGCTGCGAAACGCTGAGCTGTGGCGTGAAGAACTTGTTGTACCGCTGTGAGCTAGTGGCGTTTCTACGACTCTTCGGTGCCATAGTGTTATTGAGCATCTCTGAAGGTTATTGGGATATTCTGTGGGCCCGTCTGGGGCTCTTTGGGGCTGTGTTGGGGCCATCTTGAGCTGTCCTGGCGCCTTTTGGCCCATCGTGGGGGCTCGGGGGGGGCCAGGGGCACGGCCAGAACGGGGGGGGGCACGGTCGGCCGGTCGGAATAAGCAGGCGGGGGGGGGGACGAGGCAGAAGGGGCGGGACAGGGGGGTGGCATGTGAGAGGGGAGGGGAGGGCACGGTCGGTCGGCGGGGGCCACGGGGCGGAGTGGGGAGGCACGGTCGGTCGGTCGGTCGGTCGGTCGGTCGGAATAGGCAGACGGGGAGGCCACAAGGCGGAGGGGGGGGGCACAGTCGGTCGGTCGGTCGGTCGGAATTAGCACACGGGGGCCACGGGGCGGAGGGGCGCGGGGGGAGCAGAGGGGGCGGGAGGGCACGGTCGGGCAGGGGGGGGCACGTCGGTCGGTCGTCGGTCGGAATACGCAGACAAAGGGCAAAGGGGCGGAAGGGGGGTGGCACGGTCGGCCGGTCGGTCGGAATAAAACGGAACGAGTGCCACGTGCGGAGGGGGGGGCCGGTCGGTCGGTCGGTCGGTCGGTCGGAGTAAGCAGGCGGGGGGCCACGGGGCGGAGGGGCGTGGGGGGGGAGGAGGGTGGCGGGAGGGCACGGTCGGGCAAGGGGGGGCCCGGTCGGTCGGTCGGTTGGAATCAGCAGACGGGGGGGGCACGGGGCAGAGGGGAAGGACACAGTCGGTCGGTCGGTCGGATGAAGTAGACGGGGGCCACGGGGCGGAGGGGCGCGGGGGGGAGCAGAGGGGGCTGGAGGGCACGGTCGGGAGGGGGGCACGGTCGTCGTCGGTCGGAATAAGCAGACGCAAGCCACGGGGCGGAAGGGGGGGCACGGTCGGTCGGTCGGTCGGAATAAGCAGATGAGTGCCACGTGGCGGAAAGGGGGGGGGGACACGGTCGGTCGGTCGGAGTAAGCAGACGGGGGGCCGCGGGGCGGAAGGGGCGCGGGGTGAGCCGGTGAGCAGGGGGACGGGAGGGCATGGTGGGGCAGGGTGGGTGGGGGGGGGGGGGGCACGGTCGGTCGATCGGTCGGAATTGCAGACGGCGGCCACGGGGGGGAGGGGGGGGGGCCCGGTCGGTCGGTCCGTCCGTCGGAATAAGCAGACGGGGGGCACGCGGGAGGGGCGCGGGGGGGAGCAGAGGGGCGGTCGGGCACGGTCGGGCAGGGGGAGGGGCACGGTCGGTCGGCGGTCGGAATATACAGACGAGGGCCACGGGCTGGAGTGGGGGGGGAGGGCCACTGGGCGGAGGGGGGGCACGGGACGGGGGCCACGGGGCGGGGGGGGGCGGTCGGCCGGTCGGTCGGAATATGCAGACGGGGGCCATGGACGTGAGGGGGGGGGGGGTCACGGTCGGTCGGTCGGTCGGAATAGGCAGACGGGGGCCACGGGCGGGGGAAATGGGGGCACGGTCGGTCTCTCGGTCGGAAAAAGCAGACGGGGGCCACGGGGCGGAGGGGGGGGCACAGTCGGTCGGTCGGCCGGAATAAGCAGACGGGGGCCAAGGCGCGGAGGGGAGCAGGGGCGTAATCATATTATTGGTAAGTGTATTAGTACGTGTCGTCGGAGCACCAGCCGTAGCAGTAGTGGTAGCAGTATATGTAATAGCAGTTGATGTCGTAGCAGGCGTCGTTTTTGTTGGTCATCGCGATCGTCGTGATGGTCCTCGTGATGGCAGTTGTACATAGTCAGTGTAGTCGCCGACGTAATGACAGTTTGAGGAGGGTGGGGATGAGGATGGATATCATGACGGTGACGCTGGCAGGGAGGAGGATATCGACGAAGAGGAAGCTAATGAGGAGCAGCAGGTGCATGTGGATGAGGCGAGGGCCGGGAACCGCAGGCACGTGATCGCTGATCGCAAGCGTCTGATGTCCCAGCTGCCCATCGCGGTTCGGTCGAGCAACATCGGCAAGAACTATTGGGAGGTAGCCCCTCGCTGGGCAGGGGCAGACGTAGTGTCCAAGCCACCCTTGGCGAGGCCCGAGGTGCTAGCTGCCAGTATGTCTCTGCACCGTATGCCACGATCCGTTTTGTTGTGTTGTCCAGTGCAGGTAGTGGAGGAGGACGATAGTGAGGAGGGAGAGGAGGAGGAGGAGGCGGAGGAGGAGAAGGAGGAGGAGAAGGAGGAGAACGAGGAGGAAGAGGAGGAGGAGGAGGGAAAGGAGGAGGAGGAGGAGGAAGATGTAGAGGATAATGGATGAGGGTAAGAGAGGAAGAGTGTGGAGGACCAGTAAGGTTGTGGAGGAGCCTGAGGGAGGAGGAGGAGGAGGAGGAGGAGGAGGAGGAGGAGGAGGAGGAGGAGGAGAAGCGGAGGCATATGATGATGATGAGGAGGAGGAGGAGGAGGAGGAAGAGGAGGAGGAGGAGGAGGAGGAGGCAGAAGACGAGGAGAGTGGGGACGAGGAGTTCCTTGGGCTCCAGCGGGATCACCGGGGCTTGCCAGGGGGGTCCATTCGGGTTTCTTCTATGTGGTTCTCCTCTGGTTCCCATGTGTTCCCAGAGGTGTCCAAGGTTTTCCGGAATTTCCTTCCGGCCTGATTTGTTATGCCTTGCCCGTGCTTGTTGTGCGCCGCTTTGCTTCTGTCTTTGATGTGTTCCTCCCTTCGCACCATAGCACGCACGGACATACAATGCTATGATATGCCATGCAAAGTTTTGCACTTCTATCCGGTGAACACTTTTGCTACGCATGTCAATGCTACGGTCTGTTAAGTTGTGCTGTGTTATTATGTTCGACGCTAGTCAACGCCATGCCATGATATGCTACACGGTGCTATGGTACGCATTGCCACGCTAATGTTCCCCCCATCAGTGTTTGCACTGGAGGCGTCCTCGCAGAGGTGGTAAGGATCCAGCGAAAGTTGGATGCTAATTGCGATAGGGCGGCCAGATTCCCAGGTTCCATATTCGGACATGGAAGGAAGTTGCCCGCCAATTCCTTCTGGTGGGTGGGCTCCTGGGCTCAAAGAGGAAAGTAACGAGAGTAAGGCGAAAGTGGAGAGGGAGAGAGGGAGCTCTACATGCACTATGTCTGCCAGCGTGGACGCCAAACTGCAAGCCAGCGCACTGGAGATGAAAGCTATACAGAGTAATATAGGTGGTGCGTGCTGTTTGTATAAGTTACGTGCTGTGATATGTACATATACCGACATACACATACATGAAAGAGCGTGTTCTACCGCTGCTGGCGGAAAACCGGCGGGGGGGTCATTACGGGTTCGAACCCCCCCCCCCTCCGGAAAACCGGGGGGGGGTCACTACCGGTTCGAACCCCTCCCCCCCCCGCTCCCAGTTCATCATGAAAAGGGGGGGGTGTCACTACCGGTTCGAAGCCCCCCCCCCCCTCGAACTCGAAAACCGGGGGGGGGTCACTACCGGTTCGAACCCCCCCCCCCGAAAACCGAGGGGGGTTGCGGACAGTGGTGGGGACGGTGGTGGTGGGGACAGTGGTGAGGGGACAGCGGGACAGTGGTGGGGACAGTGGGACAGTGGGGGGGACGGTAGTGGTGGGGACAATGGTGAGGACAATGGTGGGAACAGTGGGGACAGTGGGACAGTGGTGGGGACGGTGGTGGTGGGGACAGTGGTGTGGGGACAGTGGGAATGTGGTGGAAACAGTAGGACAGTGGAGGGTACAGTGGTGGTGGGGACAGTGGTGAAGGCGGTGGCGAGGACGGCGGTGGGACAATGGGACAGAGGTGCAGTGGGGATAGTGGGGACAGTGGGGACAGTGGTTGGAACAGTGGGACAGCTCAGTGGATCGAACCCGTAGTGACCCCCCTCTTCGGTTTTCGAGGGGGGGGGGTTCGAACCGGTAGTGACCCCCCCCGGTTTTCGAGTTCGAGGGGGGGGGGGGGGAGGGGGGGGGGTTTTGCCGGGGAAGGGGGGGGGGGTCCAGCAGGGGGGGGGGATTTTCGGAGGGGGGGGGGGACCCCTGGGTTCCGGAGGATGGGCGGCAATTTTCCACAGTAAAGCGGCGGTGGATCACGCTCTCTCACATATATGCATGTGGCGTAAGCTGTTGTGCTCAAGCTATGTCGCGTGAGCTATGTTGGGTAGTCTGTGCGGTGTGATCTATGTGGTAGCGATGCATGGTGCAAGCTGTGCGGTGCGGGCTGTGCGGTGTGGGCCGTGTTGCGCAAGCCATGCTACCCCACGAGAACATGGGGCGTCCACGACCGTTGAGTCGGGCCTGTCCCTCTACAGGAGGAAGCTTCAAGAATAGTTCAACAATAGTCGGGGAACGTTTTTCTGTTGAGTACTTTTGAGTACTTTGGAGTTTTTGCCTGACTGTGTTAGACTTTTCCTGTGACTGTGTTTGAATCGTCGGGGAACGTTTT